AAATTCACGGTAAAAATTTGCGAAACCTAAAAAGCTACGAACTCCTTTTCCGGTTGTCGGAATTTCCCATGATTTTATGGCTTTAACTTTTTCAGGATCGACTTTAATTCCTTCACCAGCGCTTATAACAAATCCCAAATACTTTGTTTTCTTCACTGCAAAATCGCATTTATTTGGGTCCAGTTTTAAGCCGGCTATGTCTAGACGTTTGAACACAGATTCAACCTTAACCCAATGATCTTGGAGATCTCCGGAAGTGTAGATAAGAATATCATCAAGATACGCAGTGCAAAACTGGTCAAGATAATCTCCCAAGGATTCATTTACGTACCGCTGAAATGCAGCTGGAGCTCCTTGTAGCCCAAAGGGAGTGACTAGCCATTCAAAGGAGCCAAATCTTGTCCGAAAAGCAGTTTTTTTTTCGTCTCCCTTCCTAACTCGAAGTTTGTGGAATGCAGCGCGAACATCAACTTTGGTCATCCATGTCGATTTTGATATTGATCTCAGAGTTTCTCTTATCAGTGGTAGTGGGTACCGATCTTTTCCTGTGATTGCGTTCAAGGCTCTGTAGTCTACACAGAATCTCAAACCCCCATTTGGCTTTTTAACAAAGAGCACTGGTGCTCCTCCTGGCGAGCTGCTGGCTCTGATCCATCCTTTATCGAGATGATCATTTAGCGTTTTCCTTAAAACTAGGAGTTCATCTCTTGACATTCCATAAAGTGGGCCCCAAGGTATAGATTTTTCTCTACCTTGTTCGTCTCTTTCTAAATCGATTTTCATATCGGAATGTCGATGTGGGGGTAATTTACTTTGTCTGTCTTCGACAAAGAGATTGGACCAATGTTTTATGGAAGGAGGAAGTGTCCTTCTTATTTCCTCTGATGTTTCTTCGCTTTTTATCTCCAGAGCCTTGTTAAGATCTTGCATTGTAATGGCGAAAATCTTTGATCCTGTTTCCACCTTAGCAAGCTTCATTAGTGAAATAAATTTGCCACCCAATACTTTTTTAGCTGTAGCAACATGGTGTATTTCTTTTTTTAACTTCAATGAGGCAATATTATCATACCAACCCTTTTCTCTGACAACCTGTCCATACTTCTGAGAACCAAATCGAATCACTCGCTTCTTTGCAAGATAGACGACATCATTTTGTTCCATCCATGGTTTTCCCAGGATAATATCGTAGGAAAGGTCTTGGATAATATATCCATAGACCTTTTCTCGTCTACCGTCAATATCGAAGTCTGCAAAAGTCAATTCGTTTATTGTTCTTTGCTTCCCATCATTTTCTGCTAGTTGCAAGGATCTTTTTGGTATTTTTATGCGCGGAAGTTCCCATTTCTTCACGATCTCATTAGAAAATGCAGCATAACAGAGACAGCCTGTGTCAATCAAAGATTGCACAAAGAAACTTGAATTTAACAGACAATCTATTAAAAATGGAGTACTGTTCAATTTATCTGTTTTTTTAACTAAATCAATGGCAAATGATTCTCCCTTGCTCTGAGCGCGACGTTGCTCAGAGCTTACTCTTCCCCCGAAACCTCACTGGTCTCCAACTCTTCATAGTTGACCTTTTCTTCTGCGTGGCTCTGTTTCCTTATCTTCGTGGGGCCTTTTACATAGGCGATCCTTGAAGCAAGATTTTGAGCTGGACCGAATTTAGTGCATGCGCGAGATAAATGACCTTTTTCTCGACACCGGACGCATCTTCCCTCGCTACACAAACTTTTAAATTCCTCCGGGGAACGCCATTTAGCCCTGGGCTTGTTGGTAATGTTTCGACTATTTAGGGAGTTTAGCGCTAGTTTGAGAGCCTCAATAGCATTAACTCCCCCCATCTTGGTATCTCCTTCATCGTCAAGGTCTGGTGCGTGAAGATATCGGTCAGTTGTGCTGGAATGGTACTTGGATTGCTTATGAGACAAATACCAAGTTTTCTTGCCAGTGCAGCCTGTTGGTCGATAAGATGGTCGATTTTCGAGTCGTCCCGCTACTCTTTTGACCATAGAAACCCATGTTTCGAAATCATCATCAGGTAGATCTTTGGATACCAGATGGTCACTCAGCGATTCGTTAATACTTGAATTAAGTTTCATGATCTTGCTGCTGTCAGGCCAATTAGTTCCCCCGCATTGTGCAAGCTTAACCTGAAAATCTTGAAAGAAGTCGCAGAAGTATTGATTGGAACCCATACGCATCCGATAAAGTAGATCTCCTGCAGTCTGTCGGGCTTGTTTATCCTCGAATTCAAGCTTGATATGTTCGACAAAATCTTTCCAGTTGTGCATTCCTGAAGGGCCTCCTGTCTCAAACCAGTGACTCACTCTGGATTGTTTATCTGCTGGTATGGAATTCAGGATCCCTAGACATATAGCGCGATCCGACCCTAGCTGAAGTTTATCTTCTTCGACTTTAACAATCAGCTGATAAATATGAGATGATAGAGTAGTGATTGAGCCGTCCCACGAAGGCCACTTGCTGGGCTTTTTGTACTGTGGCTGAGTTGATGTTGCGTGTGGAAAATTTTGCGCATTCAATAGGGGTTGACGGCGAGAGATATCTGCTATAATTTGATTATATAGCGCCTGATATTGAGGTGACGACGGATTAAATGATGGAATGTCCCCAGCTTGGTGAGGAGATCGGCTCTGTTGCTCTTCGAACTTTGAGGGTTCGCCTAGTTGCTCATGAACCGTATTTTGCGGTTGGCCGTAATGGGCACCGCTGACGTTAGCTTGTTCCGACATAGTTTCACTTGCCCTGGAATGAAAGGAAGCGTTGTCAGTCGAATCGGTATCGATATCTATACTTGGGATTCGGTAGCTCATAGAAGATTTGATCTTCTCTTCTAGTCTTTGGTTGACCGGAAATTTTGTTGTTTAATGGGATAAACTACAATGTTAGGATGATGTAGAAAATATGTGATGGGCGATCAACAAAACAATATAGTAAGGGAATGGTGGCCGATTACTGTCTATTTTCTACATACATCTCGGAACTGTCCACCGAGGGGATGCTACTTAAGGTGTCCCAACTCCCAATGCGCTAACCTCACTATCTATTCTACTACATCATATCCTTGATATTCCGAGTGGGCTCGTCATAGCGAATCTGGGTCGTATCGGCCCATGATTCCATATGAGACTTGCTGCAACAATATCTTGTTTCCATATTTGTTGCAACCCTGTATTTGTATGGCCAAGTTGGACATCTCTCTAGATAGCAAGGCTAATGACGTAATAATGATAAGTGTCCGTGCGACAGTCACTAGGAGATAGGCGCAGCCTGTAACATGTACCAAGTCATACTTCAAAACTTGAAGGCTTATTTCTGAAATGATCTTGTTTGTTGAAAGATTTAATTTTGTAGCATACTTTGAAGCACTCCCTGGAGGGCCAGCTTCTTTGTTGTTATTAAATTTGACGGCACTTTTTACCGGAAAAATAGCTCAATCCAAGAATGGTGGAAGAAACATTTGCCGTGGAAATTAGATGTTGAGTACTTACCTTATTTCCATCCCTGACATACTCGGCGGTATAACAATCTATAGTGTGTAACATCTAAACTTGAAGCACGGGCCTGCTGGCCCAATGGCAAGGCGTTTGACTTCGAATCAAAAGATTACAGGTTCGACCCCTGTGCAGGTCAGATCGATAATTTCTCTTTTGAGGGAATTTCAATAATGACTCGATCGCAGCAGTCTTTTGCATATCCTCAGGATTTAGGAGCTGCATATGACCCAAAATTAGAACATGCTACAAATGGTGTGTCAGAGACGCCTATTAGGATGGCATAAATCACACAGTATTATTGCAGAAATACCCATCTGCAAGACTCAATAAAAAAGTTATATGAGCCTTATTGATTCACACAGTTCTTACAAGCACTTGATAAATTTATCATAAGAGGGCAAAGACTGAATACCGGTACGCGGTGTCCTCTGCGAGCCTGGGAGTAAAAGGTTCCCAAGAGCCAAATTCAGCTAAATTTCGCAATGCCAAAGAAGTTGGCCCATGAGACATTGATTTAAAATACTCCACCACGTCAAATTTCCACAGCCTATGAGACCAATTATTACCCAAATCTTATCAACTACTTTAGTAAACTGGGAAATGTAATGGTTGCGGTCGGTAAAGTCTTCAAATCTCATGTTTGGCCAATCATTCATAGCTTGATATTCGGAATTTCACCATTTTCCCTCAAACCATTCTCGTAGTCTTGTCTACATCAGAAGAGCTGGCGTATTCCCTTCAACCATACCACGAATGCTGGGAGTTGAATCGATAATAACGAATAGTTTCATCATAGCATCTCCAGCGAGATACTTCTTTCTCGTTTCTAATGCCTCCCTTTTCGCAAATCTTTCTTTGATAGATACATGCTGGAGGTTTTAAATTTCATCGCATATTTGGTTTTCCAGGATATGGCCATAGCAATTTTCTCTTTTTTTTCCATTGCTTTTGGTTTCTCTCATTCGACTTCAAACAATGGGGCAACTGGAGTGCAGCGGAATTTTGCGCCGCGTTCGAGGAAGCCTAGGGCTGACTCCATATAGGCATTATGCTTGGCACAAACTTTTCCCCAGTCTATGGAGACATCTTAAAACTTTCCGAAGTTGGGAACGACATTGCACCTTTTCGAATAATTGATCTAGATTGATTGAAAAATAATTTGACCTAGTAGCCTTTGCTACCGGGCTAATGAGCTGTTGAATTAATGCAACAGTAGAATTAAGATTATACTTCATAATAGCTACTTATTTTGCCGTGTGTAGATACTCGCTCTCAAAATTAGTTTTTTCATAATGGAATTATATCTATTTTTGTTTTACTGTAGTCTTTATTGTCACAATAATCGTACCTAGAATGTAGGATTAGACAAAATGTGGAATACTAAGCGAGGCAAAGGATACAAATGCAGAGATATCAGATAGCTTCTAACAATAATCCAAGGATCGTAGAATCGTATCTAACAATAATTCCATAATTTACATCTTACTCTAATTTTACTACTACAATTCGTAGAATCTCTTCTAGAGATAATCGAGCGTTTTTAGGATCTTTCGCTACACTCTGCCATACCTCACCATGCCTAGGCTCATTGAGTACAAATTTCATGACAACATCATTCCGCTTTTCCTGGATAAAAGTTAGAATATAAATTAAAGGGTATCTAGTTCTTACTTCAGTTCCATGTTGTAACAAAAATTTATAATACCAAGCCCATGTGTCACCAAGATCACTATCGAGTATGATTGCCTTCTCAAACCAATTCTGTGCTTTTTCCAACCGTCGTTCTGCCCAAAAGATTCTAGCAATGGTGACAAACAGAATTGGATCATTATCAACTTTCTTTATAGCTTCCAAGGCTCTTGGTTTACGATGCGTCCGAGTTTCAAGATTCCAGATAGCTTCCGAGTAAAGTAGGCCGCTGTTTGTGATTTTTTGTAGGGCCTGTGCCATGAGATTCTTAGCCTGTCCCAAATTGTTTGCACGTCGCTCAATTCTGACGGATTCAGTCCATAATTCTGGTGATTCGGGGACGGCTAATCGAGCCTGATCAAGAATACCTCGGGCCTTGACTAAATTTCCTGTGCGCTCTTCAAGTCTAGAATATAATAGCCACAATGGGATAGACTTGGGGCAGGCCTTGGTTCCTGTGCTATATGCTTCCCGGGCTTGTGGTAGATTTCCCTCGCCTTCATATGTCTGACCTTTCATCATCCATAATTTTGCAGCTCCAGGAAATAAAACAAGAGCTTGATTTGCGAGATCTAGAGCACCCTCAACATTTCCAAGTTGTCTTTCAAACGCTATACTCTTCATCCAGACTCGGTCTGTTGGCGCTTCTTGCCGAGCTGTTTTTAAAAGTTCTCTAGCTTGCTCGGGCTGTTGATTTTCTGCCTCTAACTTGACAGCCGCTAGCCAAATATCTTCGTTGTTTGGATTTTGGTTAAAAGCTCGTCCTAAAACTCGGCGTGCATTATCAATTTCTCCTGCTTGCCACTTTTCTTTCGCAAGCATCATCCATAGAACTTCACTCTGGGGACATGCTTCAACAGATTTTTCTAATATTTGCCAAAGAGCTTCTTTAGAACCGTGATTTTTCTCTAAGTCAGCAGCCATTAGCCATACCTTTCTGCTGTTGACAAAAATACGTAGAGTATAAGCATAGATTGCTCTAGCTGTCTCATATTGACCTCGACCAATACTTGCTTTTGCGTCTTCCATCCATATGTCTTTACGGTCATCATCTTCATCCAGGCCCCAGCCGAGCGTCTCGCGAATAATATTTCCACATGTTAAAATGGCACCTTCTTTCTCACATTTTTCAGCTTCAAGGATCCATTCTTCTCTTTTTAACATGGCTGATTCTTTTGCAAGGGCTTGTACAGCACGCTTCATGACATTGACCTTATTGGCATTGCCCATCTGTTCCTGGAGCCTTGCAGCTGCAATCCAGATTTCATGTGAGGTAGGAACAGCCTTTCGAGCTTTATTTAAAACTTTCTGTGCATTTTCGGAGCTTTCTAGATGCGCAAGGGCTAACCACAGTTCAACGGATAGGGGAATGACTTCTGTGGCTTTTGCAAGTAATAGACGAGCATCGTCCGGATCCTCCTCTAGGTTGACTGCTTCTTTCCATAGCATAACAGATTGTGGAATATGGTCTAATGCGTGCCGAATAACTTTTTTTTTGGCTCTTGGTTCAGATTCTAATTTCATTGCTTCAATCCAGAGCCGCACAGAATGATCATTATTCTTAATAGCGTTTGCGGCAATTATCTTTGCATTGTAATTGTCATTTAGTCGTATATTCTCTAGCCAAACATCCTCGCTCTTAGGACAAAATTCGCAGCCTCGCGCAATTACATTTCGAGCAGCGACTGACTTACCAGCCAGTTCTTCAAGACGTGCCGCTGCAATCCACCCTGGAGCATGTTTAGGATTTGTTCGTATGACAGATTCTAATAGAACTCTAACTCGCTTGATATCACCTACCTGCGCTTCGCCTTCGTTAATTTGGGATTTCGCGAGACTGGTAAGATATCCCTTTGGATCAATACTAGTGGCGTTACCAGCTACAGAATCAGTCCCTTGAGAAGCTTGATCAAGTTTGACTTGTAAAACTTTATCTCTCGCAGCTCCAATATCTGCGAAGTTTGTCATTGTTCCATCAGGGCCATCTCCTCCTTGGGGACCGTCGTCTGCTACAGTTGTACCAAGTTCAGTGGAGTCGCGTGCACCTGCAATCACACTGTCTGGGACCGCATAGAATCTTTGCCTCAAAGCTTGCTTGCTTCTTCTATTCTTGCCAGTCAAATCACCAACTTCGGGTAAGTTAGCCCAATCTTCATCACTAACGGTGCCAAGAGCTCGTTTTAAATCAGCAAACTGCTGTTGTATTTTCGGATTATTTCGCTCGTACTCTTCCAACTCGGCTTTCTGACGTGCTTCCCTGTAGGTAGATAGGTCGGTAATTGCTCATCTAAATATAAAAATGATAAATCATGTACATTGAAGAGTTGAAAGGGGAATTTGTTTTCATAGAAAAACGTACCTTCTGGCTCTTCGACGTTTGTCCATCTTTTCATCTACCTCCTGGTATATGCGATCTGCTTCATCATCGTCTTTGTCATAAGCTCCACCCGCAAATAGTCCCACCTCATTCTCTGGATCTTGAAACCGCTCATCGTCATCATCATCATCTTTTTTCTCAGGAACACCGTACGCCGTAGGAGTAGCTGCTCCAAGTTGTGCCGCTCGCTTAGCAAGAGCTTCTTTTATTTGATCCTCGCTGGGCCCTTCTCTGGCAGGTCCGAGATCAGATCGAGTTGTAAAACCTGTTGCTCCACGGCCTAGACCTGCGACATAGTTCTCAGGCGCTGGCTGGTTGAGGAAATCCCGACGTCCAGACATGTCAACATATAAGTATGGCTTCCCGATGTGAGAAAGCCTTATGTTTTGAGCGAGGGTAACAAGGCTGAGTTAGATTCTGGTCGCGTAGAGCCCGCGTGTCACAGCGTAAGTCTTCAGGCCTTTTCTCATGAAACCTTTGTAAATGCCAAGGATTAGTTTTTGGAAAATCTAGTGTTAGATTTTAAAACTAGATCTCTTGCTGGAAGCTTTCCTCTGCAAAATTTGTGGCAGGTGTCATGTATTCCAGGGAATCTGTTACAAGAGGTAACCACTCTCATTAAGACTCACATGAATAATCTAATATTCAGAAGTAATGACTATTATCACCATAAGAATTATGAAGGGTAAGGCTGGCGAAGTGACATCGCTATCTTCCAGTGCTGTCAGTGTAATCGCCCAGCACACTTTGCATAACTCGGATAATCAAGAGAAATCGCACCCAAATTGATGTCAAAAGCAAACACGAGCATATCTTGGATCGACAATTTCTCATCAATATCGATCCTATTATTCTCTCAGAAGTCCTCCATCTTAATCCCTACACAAAATATAGAGCCTCAACAGCCAATCAGGGATCTGCTTCAATGGCAAACGGGAGTATGCCTCACTAATTACCGGCCAACATCCAGTATCAAATTTATGACGCAACGTATATCTGCAAGGAGAAAATATGACATATTTCAAAGCTTGGGATTTAACATATGGGAGTCTATCGTTTTAATAGGATTATAAAACTTGAGGGAATAAAGGCGAATGAGATGTGGGATGAGAGTGGCAAGAGGTCACAAATGGTCATGCCGGGACTGACATTTTCGAAAGTTTTCTGATAGTATGCCAACTAACAGATGTAAAAGACTTCAAAATCAGACCCTTACAATGATCACTGGAGCTTATCAACGCAGTCACATTAAGGCTCTTGAAGTTGAGGCATAAATATAACCAGCAAAAGTCAGGCATCAGAAACAGGTTATGTTTTATGGACTCAAAATTCTCCGACTTCATACGAATCAGTTCATCCAGGAACACCTATTCAATTCTGTTGAAAATGAACTGAAAACCACAAACAAAATAGACTAAGACTTACTTGTTTTCATAGGCAAGCCAGTAACACAGATCATGAGTATTAAAAACACTTTAAAGCCACTTACTAACTACAAGAACCTAGAGCAACTAAATCTCCAATGGATCCCTCCTTGACACCTTATATTTATTCACACAAACATCTCTACCTATTCAAATTAAGTGACTAAAAATGAGCATCTACGTCATGTGAAAAGTATCCACCTTGATGATGTTATTATTTACACAGATGGATCACATTCAAAGACAACTGGGAGCAGCATTGGCTTTACAATACACCTTCCAGTCACCAGAGATATGAGATGCTTCTCATATATCTTGGAAATTCAATAAGTATTGTAGATGCCGAAACTAAATACATACTGAAAGCAACACAATATGCGAAGAAATATTTTGCTCATGAGATCATACATATTTTTACTGATAGCCAAGCTAGTATTCTTCGGTTCTGGCACAGCAGTAACTAATTTTCTTACCAGATTAAGGTGACATCTCAAGGGAGCTCTGTACATCTTCAATGGGGTCCTGCACATGTTGGAATAGAAGGAAAGAAGCTTGTTTATAGATTAGCTAAAGAGGGCTCAAAGAAATCACCTCTGAAAAAGAACAAGTTTACTATAATTTATTTATAAAGCAGAAAGCTAGAGAATGGATTATACAGACATGGCAAAAAGATTGGAACCTAGAATTATGGCAGAAGGGCTAAAGGGCTCGTGAAGTACTATAGGCTCCAGTCCCAATCCAACTATTCAAATTTTAACAGGAAACTTTTCAGATTCGAAGGATATAGTAGAGAGACAGAGTCTGGATACTTTCAGGCAAGACTCAATGTTGGCAATACAAAGGTCTACTTGCATATGATTGGTATGGTTCAACATAGCACGTGTAACAATCGTGGGAGAGAAAGGCAAAATATTCAGCATTTGTTGTTACATTGCCCAAAATTCGAAGAGCAGAGAAACAAAAGTTTTCAGGGCATAGAGCCAAGGAAACTTCCAATCTAGTTTTGCGCAAGACGAGGAAAAGAAGCTTTACTCAAATACTTGAATACATCCAGCAGCATATAAAAGAAACTAAACTAGGAAATCAAAGTGGGAATTTTAGAAAATTTATTGACGATTTAGATGCAAGTCAGTAGTCTTTGGGACTGCTATTATATAAAATTTTTCCCGTAGCTAGATAGCTGAATACACCATGTGTTAAAAAAAAGGGTTTTCAACTTTGAAACGCTTGTGGGCGTCAAGACCAATATCTCGGCTAATAAGCCAAGAGGACTTCAATTGTCGATGAGACTATGGCACTCACTAGGGTCCTTGACGGCTAAAAAGAAGACAGACCAGGCTACTTTACTACAGCGCCCAGTTGGCCGGCCTCTTTGAAAGCTTAAGAAGGATCGCTATGTCTTCGGATATAGTCCTAATTTCGGTATTAGAAGAGCTCCGTACCCAGTGAATTTTGCGATTCTTCCCGGCTGCCATACACCCGCAAATGGCCATCGTTTCGTTGGCTGAAGGGGAGAGATAATGAAGGGCAAAGGGCTTCTCTAAGTGTATGATCGAATGAGGACTTGTGAGTGTTGTAATTCTAACAGTCCTGCATCTGTTACACTAGTCATGAACTATCTAGTTTTCGTTTCCGTTATTCGTATTATTTAATACTGCGCCACATCTATTTTCTGTAATAATAATTAGTCTTGGCGCTTAACACAAGATATGTTGGAAATTATGGTATATGCATGATTCTGTCTTACACTCAGCTAGCTTGGGGGTCTACTGGTAGTCAAGATATACCTTGACCATGATAACGTCGCCATCCTGGGACATGGGCGCATATCGTGGCTTATTTCTAAATTCGTCTCAGTAGGACTAATTCCTTTATATATATGTAGTGTTCTTCTCCTTCACAACCCTTCGGTCCATTACATTTACAGAATATCTCTGAAGGTCTATTCATACCCTCTTCGTGTCACCATACGAAGCTTCACTCTAAAGCTCTTTTCAACTGCTTCGTTGTTCGACAGATATCCTTCACCTCCCTATACCATTCCTGCATTCCTCTACGATCTATAACCTCATAATAGTGAGGGGTGATAATGTTTGAGGGGAGCTGTATGGGAGGCATAGGAGGGGATACACTACTGGCATATGTATCCTTGGCCTGTTGGCAGATATGACTTCTTTAACCTAAATAGTTATAGATCGAGAAATTGTTGGAAATTCAGATTCTGTGTGCCTTAATTTTCCCTATGATTGGAGCAACTTAGATTCACACGACCAAGATGGTTGATTTCCCCTTCGTTGAGCATGTTTGATGCCTGAGACCCGAATAGTGCATAGTATGGTTTGATACCATTAAGGTAGACTTTCAACCACCGACCCTGACCCCATACTCATGTTGTATACTGTCGTGCGATACATTGTCATCGTTAGAGTAAGGAACGAGTGGTGGATGGTATCTAATTTGGATTTGGTCTATGAAGTACATATGTATATAAGCTGTCTAGAAATCGCCAAGACAGATTAGTTAATTAATTCAATTCATTTTATCAACCTCTTCTATTTTTACAGTTAACCACATATTCTCCCGACTCATATCGATTTTATTCTATTTGTAAATAGCGGTTATATTCCTTTGACCTGCCTTACTCATCGAATCCATACCGATATTCAAATAGAAAAAACTATAAAAGAATTAATAATCTTATTACTGCCAAACAGAAACAAACTCGGGATGCAAAAAAAACGAAATTGGGAGCCTCGGCAGCTAGCAACTGCAGATCCAGAAACTTGAAAAGCGGTCAAATTTTACCAAAGTAGAGTGTCTAGACGGCAAAAACTGAGTTTTCAAGGCTCACCATTCTTTCTACATCGTAACCTGACAAGGGCCCAAAGCAGTTTGGCTATGCAAATACGAAGTGAACACACGGGGCTTAACTCGTATTTACACAGAAGAAAAGCACCCGAAGTATTAAGTCCAGGTTGTCCATGTTGCTACCGATCACAGAACCCCAAGCATATGAGTCGGAATAATCGAGTGGTTTTTATATCACAAGCTTTCTATAGCTGTAATAACAATTGGTGGTTAACATAACTCTTCTCTTCCAGTTAAAGGAAACACGTATATACAGCAGTTGTCCCTCTCTCCTGACGCCATTCCTAAACAGGTAACTCATTACTCATCAACATAACTAGTCATCATATCTAAGATGCTACATGAAAGGTCATTTAGTCATCAGGCCGTTCGACAATAAGATTATGTCCTGCCCCCGATGGTCATAGGGTAAAGCTCAGATCTGGAGACAAGCCAATGATCGGTCTTATGAAGCGATGATAAACGATTCTGGAGATATTAAAATGATAGCACAGAGGATCCAAAACCATGGTTGGATTGAGCAATTCCAGATGACAAAGGCAGTCGAAATGCTGCTGAGGGAAAGGAAAAGGTCAAGAAATGCTTGGGGCGGATAGATAAGATGTGGTTTGGTTTACATGGATGGCAGTATAGTGTGTGTGTTCTTATTGTACTACTTGAGTCTCAGACTATCTAGCATATTGGGCTCCTCTCTGACCCAGGCCACACCTTGTGCACTGCTCCTATCTATTTTTTTACTTGAATGATCATTGATATATTGCCCTTGACGAATAGCCGTTAAGCTCAATATTTACGCGTGGAATTCAGCCACCTTTTCCATAGAACCTTCTACCCAAAAAAAACAAAAATGGTAGCAATGGAAACTGCGGGCGTGGGAAAAAGTCTCAAAAAACCTGCAGCCCCAGCCAGGCGAGGCCTAGGCACCGAGACCACATGAGGTGCGCATATCCATCTACATCTCCCTTCTTTGTAACAGTCGAGGTCGACTTGATCCAATCCACCATCTCCGTATCGGATACTGGGTACGCTCCGGAAACTCATCGGATGGCATTTCCACCATGATCAAGGTTTGGTGATGAGTAGAGCTCCGACCCTACCATCTGATCTAATCGTGGCTAGCTTCATGATAGAGATGATAGGGGAATTTTTCGAGAGATCAAGACGATACAGACGGCTAAAACGATTGGGAATCTTCCTCGAAGTGAGGACTCTGATACTCAATCTCGGCTCTGCAGACTCTACAGTAAGAGCTGGAGGCTCGTAGGGGATACCACTGACTGGTGCTGAGAACAGTCCCCCAATGGCAATATAGTGTAATTGTACCTCCTGGAGTAAATATGTGAAAACTAAAGACAACAAGCAGAAAGATCGGGGGGGTTTTCACCATAAAGGTTTCCTCCCGTGTAAATACTACAAATTAAAGACACCTGCATGGGCCCATATGGCGCCAAATCAGGATAATGATATCAAATTCAGATTCAAGAATATTATTACTACTTACTGTATCCAAGCAACCAGCGGAGAACAAAGGAGTTGCCGTAGCATTTTTACCGTAAAGATACCATTTCAAGATATTTATGATGTTCATACCATCTCTGTGATTAATTAATGTGCGAGCAAGGATAGAAGTGAAAAGAATGTAATCAGAGCGGCGGATTTTTACCTCTAGTCCAGAATGAGTAAAAATTGCAGATAACTACAAAAATTACCACTAATAATTACCTTTTTTTGGCATCAGATTTTAATTGCGTATATAGCTATCTAGCTATGATATAGTATCAGAGATGTTAATTACCTTGCAACTATGTGTATTGGCTAACCATTTCCTAGGTTTATCAAATTAAGGGACTAAACTGCTGACAAGATGCGTGTAAATAGTGGAATTTAACGCTCCAAAAGGTAAACCATCTATATTTCGACTTGAATCAAGATTATTTAATCTCCAAGCATACGACTCCAGGAAAATTTTGTATTTATACCGTAAAAAAACTATTATACTCGATCTAATAAAGGGCTAAAACAAGGAAGTCGGAGGGATTCTCAATAAAACGTCGATTAACATAGATTGGGTACGTAAAATCCTCCCAGTCATTCAGGTCTATTTAGTTACGTTTGACTATCCTCCTTAACTGATCTTCAGGCACTTCAAAGGGCTTGAAGAATGCATCTTGTTCTTCATGTATGATAAACTTTCTATCGAGTTCATCCAGAAGGGCTATTGCATTAAAATCATTGGCCGAGATTTGCTTCATAAATGCCGGACCAATTCTGTCGCGCCGTCTGATCGGAATAGCTCGTATTAGCGCTCTACACATTGCCTCCTCTCCGCCAAATTCATCCATGATTTTTGGCTCCTCCATTGCTTCACGCCAAATAACTGTACAGTACGGATAAAACTCAGATGAACCGTCCCAAAATATTAAGCTGTGCTGATCTGGCTCAGGCATAGTGTTAGAGCTAATGCCTGGGAAGGATTAGGACAATTCTCGCTAATTAATATGCCACGTATTTTTTCGGGGTTATGATACACCGTAGGTAGGGAGATTATTAGTAATTGCGTACCAGGATTTCTCAAAATATCTCGAACTGAACAAGGAGATATAAGACGGTTGACTGCTTATTTGAAAAATTGTGCTATTGAAAAATGAAAGTGGCGTAAACGTCACACAACAAAATCAGATCAGTCCAAGAAGATAACAAGCTTTGAGATTATTTTTGGATTATTTTTGTGGTCAAGATGATAAATTTTGTAGGATGAAAATTTGTTGATGCAGAAGTAAGCTTAGAGCCGATCATGACGTTGTGTTGTGCCTGATAGACGTCAATAGGAATTCTGTGCTTTTTTCTAATCCCTTCTGGGATGGAAGGCGCTAGGATCAATCCCTAGCTAGCAGAATATATAATATTTTGTATAACAAGGGCCCAAAGCAGTCTAGCAATTCAAATACGAAGTGAGCACATGGGGCTCAACTCGTATTTGTGCAGAAGAAAAGTACCCGGAGTCTACAGTCCAAGCTGTCCATGTAGCTACCAATCGCAGAACCCCAAGCACATGATTGTGTCCTGCCCTCGATGGTCAAACGGAAGAGGAGAGATCTGGAGACAAGCGAAAGATCGGTACTACGAAGCTATGCTAAGCAATCCTGGAGATATCAAAAGGATAACACAGTGGATCCTAAATTATGGTTGGATAGAGCAATTTCAGATGACAAAGGCGGTCGAAATGCTGCTGAGGGAAAGGAACAGGTCATGTCTTTCTTGAGGTCGATAAAGCTGATGTGATTGGGTTATATGGAGGGCACTATAGTGTAACTGCGCTTCCTAAAGTATACTTAATAAAAAACATAGAAATTAAGCAGGAAGGTTTGGGGGGTTTTCACCAAAAGGCTTCCTCCCATGTAAATTAGAAAGTATATAGACACCAGCATGGGCCCATAGGGCGCCAAATCAGGATAATGAAATCAAAATCAAAATCAAATATTTTGTATACTAAAGTGCTAGATAGTAATCAGCCCCTGCACTCAATCAGAAATTTGAAAACGAGTGAGGCTATGCTAGATCACGTTAACTAACATACTGAACATAAATCTCCCCAAACTGAATTACCTAAACCCCGCAAACATCACTCATCGTTTCAGTTAAACCAAGCCAGTCCGTACATAGAACCCGATTTCTACATGCCGAAGCTTATGTTTCTCTTCCGACTCGACCACCACCCGCCCATGCCCTTGACACTTTCCCGATCCCTAATTTTCCTTTTCTGTTCAGTTCCAGTTGTACCCGTTCCAGCATCTCCTTATCTTATCCAAAGGTTGATTTACCAATTGTAAGCCACCTCCTTTATGCCTCAGCTTTCTTTATCCATTGTTGATTCTCCCTAATCCTTATGCTAATCGCGTCATCTTCGGGGCTTCTTGAGACTGTCGATCTCTAGGGCCATGTCTAGCCACCACTGTGTCTCTAACCGTGGAGGAAGATCCTGTGAATGTTAGCTCATAAACGAAGCACTGAGGTTTCGATCTTGCCAAAATACTAATTGATTTGCTGGTAAAACGTCGCGCTTATTTCATCGCAGGTCATGCTACTGTTACCCCTGGCCAAGCTTTAGACGCGTTTACGCCCGTTCCTTCGATCAGTACTTTACAGCTAGCAGTATTTTCGGAGTAAATATCCTTTTATTTTTTGATGGTAATTACGTCTTTCCGATTTCTTTGGATATCTTCTGAAGGTAGTGAGATAAACATGGGAAGATCTGCGAGATAAGTTTATCTGGTAGAAATCTCCCTAAAGAATGAGGTCTACAAAGTTTGTCAGTCGTTGTAATGTTACCACCAAATAGGATTGATCCTGTCTGCGGTTGATATGTGGGGTGTAGATTTTAGATTTCGTTGGGTATTGCAGTACTGGAATCTTTGCAGGTCAGGTTTTTGATCCGAAACAAGCCATCCGCATTTCTTCCTATCCCTAATCCAACAAAAACTCTTGGATTGATCCTGTTTATTAACTGAGTCATATACTCAAGAGAATTTTTATACCCCATGGTACCTGGTGGGGTTCATTTTGGGAACATAACCTTATAGCTTTACCGCGTTGTTGCACGGACTACAGCATTATCAGTTTAAGCCCTGCCCCGCCATGAGGATAATTTAATTTCACTTATGTCGCCAATAGCTCCTGGTAAGACATCGGATGGGACACATACGGAGACGAATATCCCCTCTCGCTCATTCCATTATCAGATGTGAGTGTTGAGCTTAAAACAAGCTCCCCAGCTTATTGATAACCCATCGAAAATTTTGACAAAGCTGCAGCTTAATACCGGCTACAAATATCTTCCCAAACTCTCCGTTCGCGGATGAAAAATCTGACTGATACTTGAAAATTATATTATGAAGCTGGCATAACCAAAATCTAGTAATTCGATGTTGTTGAAAGTTTAGAGAGTAAGAAGAGTCTGAGATAATTTACCATAATTTAGTCTGGAAGAACCGTGTTAGCCTTTTGAAAGTGTATGGTTATCAGTTCTTCCGTAGATCATAGGAATCAGATCTATAGAGAAAGAGACTTTGATATCTTAACAGAGAAGATTCAGCGTTTTAGAGAAAGGAAAAACAAGGAACGGTATGAAATCAATGAGGAACAGGATAGACGAAGACTAATTGGCTCCTTGAAGGCAAAGAATATGGGATATTATGAGAGTAATCCTGAGTGGGATGATGTAATTCCTATTGCCCAGTTCGACGGTGAGGGTGCTCTAGCAGCTATTGCATACACAGAGGAGTATTCTGAAGGTAAGACGCACATGATTCTATTAGAGAGTACTAAATGTTATACAGCTATGAGCTATCTCCGAGCGGTTATTGCCTCAAAAGAGTATTCAATACGTGCCTTAAACCTCACCGCACACGTTATATCTCTTAATCCTGCTCATTACACTGTTTGGCTTTATCGCGCCTCTACAATATTTAGACTAAAAGCCTCAGTTGCCAGTGAGCTGGACTGGCTCAGCAATATTGCTCTCACAAATCAAAAAAATTATCAAATATGGCACCACCGCCAGCTACTCATTGATCATCTATTCCCTACCATTGCTAAAGACCTATCCGCAATACAGAAACTAGCCCAGTCTGAAACGGAATTCATGGAACAAATGTTTGACGAAGACAGCAAGAACTATCATGTATGGAGCTATCGTCAATACCTGGTCCAAAAGCTCAATCTTTTTAATCATGCTGAGCTATCGTCCATTGAAGCCCTACTTGAAAAAGATATCAGAAATAATTCAGCTTGGTCTCATCGCTTTTTTCTTGTTTTCTCGAATCCTGAGTACGCCAACCTTCGGTTAGCTGCTACAGAACACGACCCTTTAATCCCCATCTCTATCATCGATAGAGAAATAAAATTTGCCAAGGAGGCTACGTACCAGGCACCTCAAAATCAATCCCCTTGGAATTATTTGAGAGGTGTGCTGAGAAAAGGGGATCGTTCCATTATATCTGAAGAAGAATGGGCAACAAGGTTTGTTAATATTAGCAAGGATGAAACTGCAACGTACACATTTGTAGCAAGCTCGCACGCCTTAGAATTTCTAGCAGATATCTGGTCAGAGAAAGGTGAATTTGGTAAAGCAGATAAGGCACTAACTCTACTTGGTGAAAAATACGATCCTATTCGTAAAAATTATTGGGAATGGAAAAGACTTGGACTATCAACTAATTTAAAATAAATAAGGCTCATTTTTTGATACTTTATCTGGGGTCAGCTGCGGTTCATAGAATTAACTAACTTCACCAAGCGTCACCTTCAACTTTGTGTTAGGAGTGAACTGTTAAGTACTGGATAAATGTTTCTAGCTTTTAAGTGTGGTATCTCATGCTCATGTTAGAACTAATTAAATATCCAAATTGTGCTGTCTCGCACAGGTTTTGTTGATACTGGTGCTCTAGATTTACTGATCCATTTTGGTGGATTGATCGGCACTGTAACATTTGAGCTATAATCAGTGTGTTTCACATTTGACGCATGTGCTATTTACGAAGTAGTCATTGGCAAATTTATTCGCATCTGCACACTTTATTTTAGTTTCATACTCACTTGCTCCACAAGTACGAGATCAGTGGAGCCAACGGATCTATGACTTATCTAGCCGGCAAAGACGAATTCTTCACCTTCCAGTGGTGCCGGTGTAATCGCTCAGTATGCTCTGCATATCTGGGATAGCAAAGAAAAATCGCATCCGAATCGAAGTCGAAAGCAATCTCAAGCATATCTCCATTTGACGACATCTCGACAATGCCTCTCTTACCATCATCATCTGAGTCCTCAACCTCTCTCTAACTACGCATCATCTCGCCCCAACGACCAATAAAGAAGTTGCTCTAATTGCATACAGGAGCTTGCCTTATTAATTTCCAGTCATCTCTCACTACAAATTTACGACGCTTTTTAGACTCGTAGGGATGAAATCAAGTCGAAAAATACAAGGCCTGGGTCCTGGCTTATGGGGGATTGTTGCTCTAATGGGACAAACAACTTGAGGAAGAACAGGCGGCTGAGATGTGGAGCGAGCGGGGGAACAGGTCTATGGAGAACATGCTGGGGCTGGCATTTTCGAGGGGTTTTCAACTTTGGAACGCTTGTGGGCGTCAAGACCAACATCTCGGCTAATAAGTCAAGAGGACTTCAATTGTCGATGAGACTATGGCACTCACTAGGGTCTTTGACGGCTAAAAAGAAGACAGACCAAGCTACTTTACAGCAATCACGCTCTATCAAGACTTTTCTGATATTTCAGCATGGCCTTCAAGAAAGCATTGGAAGCAAAAGTGTGAATTTACCGAGGTACTCACAAGTCGAGAGCGCCCAGCTGGCCAGCCTCTTTGAAAGCTTCAGAAGGATCGCTATGTCTTCGGATTTAGTCCTAATGTCGGTATTAGAAGAGCTCCGCACCCAGTGAATTTTGCGATTCTTCCCGGCTGCCATACACCCGCAAATGGCCATCGTTTCGTTGGCTGAAGGGGAGAGATAATGAAGGGTAAAAGGCTCCTCTAAGTGTTTGATCGAATGAAGACTTGTGAGGGGTGGTACTGTTTGAGAGGAGCTGTATGGGAGGCATAGGAGGGGATAAACTACTGGCATATATATCCTTGGCCTGTAGGCAGAGAGGACCTGCATATCCTACATAGTCATAGACTCAGAAAAGAAAATAAAATGAATTCATAATAATATTATCTAAATGAGCGATTTGTCCTCAGGTTTTTAATCAAACTGACAATCGATGAAGGAAAAAATGAAATAGTAATCGAAATATTTTGCTTGTATATTTACCTTGAAGTTTAGCCCTGAGTACGATAATTTCTCGAGCTACAATTAATACCTAAAATCCTCACAATCTAAACTTGTTGAGCAGAATTTTCTTTGTTTGGGTTACATTTCAGTGAATTTATGATTATTCATTCTGATGAATTGGTAGGGTAGTATTCACCTGAGTTATCTATCGGAGTTAGTGGAAAGCCGGGAAGGGAGACGGTATTTTCAAAGAATTCATAAGTGAAGTAGTCTAGATCAAGGACAAAGGGTGAGATCGGAGTTTGGGGGATGTGATGTATATAGATAGAGATTACACATAGCTTGAGGGACACGCACAAGAACTTTTTTTTCAAACATCCTGACTGAGTCTATTTGATTGACAAAACTTGAGGTTTAGGGACCCTAGTAATAAACACTCACCAAGAAATACCACGTTACAACCATTATGCTCTCAGATTATATTGGGATCATAATATTGTTGTAATTAGGTGAATAATATGACTATATTACAATAAACTGTTTACATTATAATATTGTGCACATGTGCCATTAGATACGTTTGACCTAGATCATCAGAGTGCAGCTGACACTATAAACACAATCCAACGATGGAAGGTGTTGTGGCCCGCCTCCTGGCGGTGTTCTCTGGTATGGTTTGAGTAGCCTGGGCACCTACTCCCCTTGGGAAGGAGACATCTCAGATTACATTTCGCGCGGAGAAAAGTTGAAAGATGATGGAGGCATGTCTGGATAACTCAGGGTTTTTGAGACGTCCCCCTGGGTGGGTATTCACGGATGAGGGTTGACTTGGGGTGAAGAAAAGGCCGCCATAACTTCACAGTGGTACTTGCAAATGAAATCTGAGGCATGACTGCTCTTCCCTTACGTTGAACCATCTATTCTGTACTTTTCTTTGATATTGTGTCATAGATAGATAGCTGCATACGCAATTAAAATCTGATGCAAAGAAAAAACAAAAAAAAAGACCAAGATCATCACTCATTGGTATGGCATAGTATTTACCACTAGATTCCTAATGGTATCCATTGGCGCTATGGTCTCTCTGCAAAGAGGAAAAGAAGCACTTCTTAAATATTTGGACACATCCAAGTGCATGGCAGCACATAAAGGGAGTTGAACTAGGATAACTAAATTGGGAAATTAAAAAGTATTATGAAGATTGTATTTCAGAAAGGAGTTTTGGGGAATTTAATTATGTAAATAACGTGTCATAGCTAGATAGCTGAATACACTATGAATTTAAAAAAAAAAAAAAAAATATGGTCTCTCTGTGACGGAACCGAGTTGGGGGACTATTCTCAACACCTGTCAGCGGTGTCCCCTACGAACCTCCAGCTCTCACTGTAGAGTCTGCAGAGCCGAGATTGAGTAACAAAGTCCTCACTTCGAAGAGGATTCCCAATCGCTTTCGCAGTCTGTATCGTCTTCATCTCTCAACACATTCCCCTATCACCATTATCATGAAGCTAACCACGATCAGATCAGATGGTAGGGTCGGAGCTCTACTCATCACCAAACCTTGATCACGGAGGAAAAGCCATCCGATGAGTTTCCGGAGCGTACCCAGCACCCGATACGGAGATGGTGGATTGGATCAAGTCGGCCTCAACTGTTACAAAGAAGGGAGATATAGATGATTATGTGCACCTCATGTGATCTCGGTGCCTAGGCCTCGCCTGGCTGGGGCTGCAGGTTTTTTGAGACTTTTTCCCACGCCCGCAGTTTCCATTGCTAACATTTTTATTTTCTTTGGGTAGAAGGTTCCGTGGAAAATGTGGCTGAATTCCACGCGTAAATATTGAGCTTAACGGCTATTCTTCAAGGGGAATATATCAATGATCTTTCAAGTAACAAAAGAGGATAGGAGCACTGTACAAGGTGTGGCCTGGGTCAGAGAGGAGCCCAATGTGCTAGATAGTCATAGACTCAAGTAGCACAATAAACACAAACACACACACATACCTCAGGGACATGGTTGTCCTTCGCTTGGAGAGCGGCTTCGATGGCGTTCATGTTTTTATCACTAATCTCGAGTCCTCTGTATTGAAAGGCTATGCTGAACTGGAATGACGCACCGTTAGGATCAAGGTATAGAAGGAGGTAGCTATGGCTTTAAGAGAAGTGAAGTTCGTGAGTTATACTCTTAGGACTTGGATCAATGGACGAACTTGAGGATATTCCCTAGTATTCTCAAAAGTGGGAATAATGTGGAGATTGATTAAATTTCCTATTGTATTAATTGCTTATCTTATCTACGTGACAGGACCTTCCTCTATCTACATGAATAAGAGGGTTTCTGCACACTAGTGGATGTTACAACATGTGTCATTGTCTAACCGAGAAAGGAAGGATGTGAGAGTGTTATGGGTTGTCTGTTGATTAAGCTTAGGTAAATAACTGAGCGTACTTTTGAGAATATTTATGACAAGGCTGCATGGGGGGGATAGATGAAGTTGAACAAGGCGGCACTACTAGTCAGGAGGTAGAAGCATCACTACAATTAAGTAATGTTATAAAAATCTGAATTGATAACTGCACACACCATCAGGGGATAAAAGTGCACCAGCTAAGTTAACCTCTTAGAGTCTGATCACTATTGCCTCCTGGTCGCCACACACTGACATCAACGTGTTCACTATAATAAGGACACCATTGTAGTTACTCTAGCTATCATAAACAATAACATGTAGAGGAATAAGGGTAGGAACTCCTGTATATAGATAGGGCCTTTTTACTCTCAGTATCTACATCAATCATCCACAAATACAATTTACCATCAATCAATCATCTTACTCTGTCCAAGTGATCTATTGGAATCTCCCATACCTATCAGTATTCCATTCTCAAGGTGACGTCTCCCTATCCATCGCCCTCAGCCTTTCAATAAGTAACACCTGGCAATGCATGGCTGGGTAGCAAGTATTGTGCCTAAGGATAAGTCATCAGTCTAGAGATTGCCGAAGAGGACCAATTCTTACAAATACCTGTTAGTCGTAGCTAGAGTTCTCTTTTCTCCTCATATAGTTTAATAAATCGACTTATTCATTACCAACTCGGTTCCGTGTGTTTGTGTTTATTGTGCTACTTGAGTCTATGACTATCTAGCACATTGGGCTCCTCTCTGACCCAGGCCACACCTTGTACAGTGCTCCTATCCTCTTTTGTTACTTGAAAGATCATTGATATATTCCCCTTGAAGAATAGCCGTTAAGCTCAATATTTACGCGTGGAATTCAGCCACATTTTCCACGGAACCTTCTACCCAAAGAAAATAAAAATGTTAGCAATGGAAACTGCGGGCGTGGGAAAAAGTCTCAAAAAACCTGCAGCCCCAGCCAGGCGAGGCCTAGGCACCGAGATCACATGAGGTGCACATAATCATCTATATCTCCCTTC